CCCATAAGAAGCTGTTTGTTCTTTATCCTTAATTCCAAAATCTTCGTGTAAACTTTCAATATTCCAACTTTCCCTGGACCCTTAGTCCATTTATAACTTTCTAAGATCAAAATCTTATTTAGCTTTTTGCTGTTTACAGTATTTCAGATTCTTCAAATTTTTAAGCTTATGATTAAATTTTTCTTTTATTCAGGGTTGAAAGCAGTCTCACCTGGCATTTTCAAACTTTTCTTTCCAAAGGTCTCTAATAGCTTAGAAGTAGTTAATGAGCAATTTCCAAAACTGATTAGAAAGTGAGGTTTGCAAAATTAGTGTCCTTTAAAAGCCTCTGCCGCAGTTGTGAGCAAGATGGCTAATCCAGTCATCTCCCAGTGCTCAAACGTGGAAAATCGCTGTCCTGCAGCCTCCTCAAGGGGAGCAGCCATCCAGAGCACATGTGGGCAGTCTCCCATCTTGTCCTTATCCAGAGAGGTTCCAAGGAACCGGTCTACTCTCCAGTTCCTTGGTCTTTGCTGCAGTCATTGGCTACGCTTCCGCAGAGCCATCTTCTGCTCACCATACCTCCCCCGGAAGCGTGTCATTTTTTTCTGGCTACTTAACATCCTGGTTACTTTTCTTTTTCTGCTTGTTTTGTTCTTCTCATCTAAGTAGTTTTGTTATGGAAATTTTATATTTCTGTATGTTTTTATTCTGCTACATTTTGTTTCATTTTACTCTTCTGTAGCTTTAAGAAGAAAGGCCTTTTCCCAGCATCCCTTGTTTTACTCATGGCCATCTTGGGTTTACCTGCATGTTTTCTTTCTTTTGTTTCTCTACCTTTGAATTTTCCTCCTCTCTTTTCTGTTGTTATTCCAGTGCTACTTCAACTTGGCTGCATCTCTCCTCCGCCCACTCCCCCAGATTAAATCTCTCAGATGGAGCTTTACTAAGATTGACCTTTACCTGACCACAAACATATATTGTTTGAAATTGTTCCTCTTTACACTTCTTGAGTCTTTCGTGAAGTGCCTATAACTCAATCAGTACTGTGAATCATTGTGTCTAGCACTGTTCCTAATCATTGTTAATAGCTAAACCTTCTGACCGCTGAAGGTCACCAGGATATTCCCTCTTGTCATTCTATGATTTCCTCTGATTCGTTTATATTGTGCTAATACCCATATGCAAGAAATATACGAAACCTTGCATCAAGTTGCTGTAAAATGAGGGTGTAGCAAGGTAAAGAAAGAGATGCCTGTGTTATTTTTTTCCAGTTCCAGAATTTTTTAAGAAGTGTCACTGCCTTTTTCCCAGTCTGCAAGTCCTGCTAATTTTCTCAACAGTTCTGGAGGTTCCACAATGGGAAGAAGGCTTCTGGCCCTAAGCAAAATCCCACTCCTCTATGGCCGCTTAATGAGGGGGAGGGAGGCCTTTTTTTCTCTCCGTTGAATTCTCAGCATTTTGAAAGGATTTCAGACAACTTTCCCCCTCTCTTTTGCAGCATTTTAACAAGAATAAAATGTAGCAAAATATAACAGTAAAAAGATAAACGAATTTAAAAAATTCTATAACAGTTCCTTCTGGATTAGTGAGTTACATATTCCGGTAAAGAAACCTGCAGACACAGGGTTTTTTTCCTTCAGGGTTGTATTGTTAGGCTACCCTATCACCTGGGGGCCTGAGAAAGTCGGTCAGACAGCTGGACATAGAGAGTACACATTTCATAATTTCTTCCCATAATGTTCCATTAAAAAAAAACAGTTCTTTTTTTCCACTTTTTTGCATTTCATTCTCTAGGCAATGATAACTTTGTGCCTGTAAAGCAAAGCAGACCTGCTTGTGAACTGAAATTTCATTCTTAAGGCTTTTTGTGGGTCCTTTATAGATCATCTAAATCCCCCAGATGAATGATGTAGCGGTCACTTTCTTTATATGAAGTGAGACTCTTGTGTTAAAAAAAAACAAAACTGTTTTGCTACTGCAAACGGGGATGGATTAAGGTCCTTAGAAATGGTAGTTTGCCTTAAAATAACATGTATTCACAGCTTACAGCAGGGGCTTCATAAAATTTACAATTCAGCATTTTAGGCATTGTACTTTCAGCATTTCACTTATCAGTTTTGAGACTTCTAATTAAACAACTTTGTTAGGGTTTCAGATTCTAATGTTGGTGGTCTACATATGCTTCTATACATCATGCCAGAGTAGAATTTGTAGTAAGAATACATCAGTATTGCTAAATGGAACATTTCTTGGAATTTTACCACAGAAGGATAAAAATTTCTCTGCCACAGTGCCAAGAGTTGTGATCCATTTAAGCTTACCTGGAGCAAAATGCTTTGGGGTTTCTAGTCTAACCAGAAGAACCAGCAAGGGTATATGTTGCAAAGACTTTCATGCCACTAACTGATAACATCAAAGGCTTTGTTTTCCGCTGTGGAGTACCTCTCATTCTGAAGTCAATATTGAATGTGCTGTATTTCAACAACACAATTTTAACAGAATAAACATTTCTGAACACAAGGTGCTGTCCTTTTAATTTTAAAAACTAGTGGAACCTAGTTCTTTTAGGAAATGTACATAATGCGAGTTATTCCAAACTTACAAAGTCATAATGGTCCTTTGCAAAGAAAAAGTCACTTTCCAAAGTACATTGATGTGAGCAAAGCATTAAAACACCCCCTTCCTCCAAAAAGCTTGGTAGTGTGACTGCAGTTGTTTTTTTCCATTGTCTGTACAGTTAAATGTGTGCATGCTGGGATGCTCTGCTTTGCTAGACAAATGCAGATTTAGCTTGTAGTAATAGTTTACAAATCTATTCCAAGAACCCAAAGGAGTGTCATACAGAAGAAGGCCAAGAACCGTTCCTAACCTTGTATGGAATAATGTTCTTAAGTTAGAGGAAGGTAACTTCTCTTTGAATGTCAGGAAAAACTTATAATAAAAGACAGGACTAATTACTGGCAGAGGGTGAAGGTGTTCTAGTTATACCTTAAACAGCCATCTCTAGTGGGTGTTTTGATCTGGTTGCCTGAAATGAGCAGAGGGTTGGATCTGATGGTGTACTAGCCCTTCCTAACTCTGCGATTCTTTAAAAGCTGCTAGTAGCATAGTTCTTGTACAAATAAGGTAAGTTGATCAATTGAAATTCTGATATATTTAATAGTAATCCACGTAGAAAAATTTTGGAGTGAAAAAGAGTCCTTAATGTGGTTTTCAGACACTCCATGACACAGTGAAAAAACATTTTAATGCTGCTAATTAAGGAAGGACTTAATGAAAATAAGAGTTATTTCTCAATGGTGATTTCTGTTATATATACTTTAGCATTTAATATTGGTTCCTTGTGAGAGATAGCTTTACTGGAGCTTATTCAGTTATAATTTGACTTCAAGCGTGGCACTACGTCATGGTGCAGCCTTGATAGAATGCAATTGTAGTTTTGAAGTAAATTGCTCCCATTGGTAAAATAGACCAAATACTAAGTTAGGCTTTCAAGTAGAATTGTTTGAAGTCCAATCTGTAAACTGCATTTCTGTTATTTCAAAACATTGGTGGAAGAAACTAGTACTTTTAAGTTCCAAGATAATTGTGAACTGCAGGCTATATGTTTTCTACAACTTTTCATTAACAGCTAATAACCTAGCCCTATGCACGAAGTTGGTGGGATGCCGGAAACAGTATGTGGGCTTGCAAGGTATTCTTTAGATTAGAACTCCTAGTATGTATAGAATGTGAGCATATATCAAGTAAAATTGAGCTTTGGTTTGGTATATTAGCAAAAATATGCCAAGCCATACTGATAATGTCTCTAAAAGATGACACAGGGAAGCTTGCAACTTAGAATGTCAGAGGAACATATGGCAAAGAGTATATACAAATATATTAAATGGATAAATTTGTTATGAATACTGGTATATATACTAAGAATGTATGCTATAAAAAAGAATTATACAAATAAGATTCAAAATAGGTAGATGAGCTACAGAAACACTAAATTAATTAAAATATTTTTATTTGTTTCTTTTGAAGCTGGACCTGTGATCTACAGAATGCTGACCTATCCTCCAACTCGAAGAGAGTTGATTGTGGGCTGTAGTTTACAAATGTTCCAACAGCTGGCAGGTATTAACACAGTCATGTATGTATCATTTAACTTTTTAAAGAGAATACTGCAATTTATTTTCAGTTTAAAAAACAGAAAACGTTTTAAATGGTTTAACAACTGAATACGCAATACAAAAAACATAAAAATAACCTTTAAATATAATGCATATATGGCTATTTGTATTAATCTTTAGTTTTGCTTTGGGAGCATTTCAACTTCAACCTTTTCAACTATTTGTTCTAAGCCTGGTTGAAGGGAGTTCATTGCCAGCAGGAAAGGAATTGGTCTGAATATGGATGAGCACTAATGTTTCTAAATTAATGCTACATAATGTAAAGCCTAAGGCCAGTTGTGGCCTCCTCTTTTTCCCTTAGCAAAAATGGTCCTTTCCAGTTTTTTGCGGAAACATCTGTACTCCTTGCAGGTCCAGTTGGAAAAGATACGGTGGTGAATGAATGTCTGCGCTGTGTTCTGTTTCTCCTTTTTCAGATTTAAGGAAATCTGTTGGAACTGATGTCTGTTCTTGATTTCACCATTTCCTTAGTACAATTGCTGTATTATTTCATATAATTTGGGGAGGAATATGAGATATAGGAGAGGTTGTAGAAATGGAGGCAAAATTTGAAGTGGGTTTCTGAGGAGCACAGTAAGCAAAAAGGCAAGGTCAACACTGGGGATATAAGACTCATCAGGGACTTTCTCATAAATGATTTGGACATGGGGTGAAAAGTGAGGTAGTGTGAAGGCATTTGATCTGACCTTGGGAAAATGGAAGGAATGAGCAAGCCTTTAATGGGCGGGGGGGCTTTGAGAAAAAAACTACTCAGTCCTGACAAAGAGGAAAGTATGAGAAAGATACTCAAAATAATCCTGAACTGCTTTTGTTTAACATAAGATGGTGCAGAGAGAAATTTGAACAAGTTTTCAAAATTTAGTTCTTCTACCCTGCTATAATAAAGAATATTCCTGGAATCCTTGCCATGCCTATTTCTTGACCATGTCTACCTCAAATGGCTGACGGGGAGCCATATTAGTCTTCCGAGGTCTACCTCAATATGTACTTCCCAATTAGCATGTGAAGAGCATCAAAAGAGTTTTCTGAACAGCATGAATGGTCAGCTAAGCCGAATAGATTTTTTCAAACCCGTCCTTCTTCAGACTAGCAAGAGCGCCAATGGACAAAAGGAGATATTCATTGGCTGCTATTGGGTATATCATTTTACTCTGGAGATTGATCTCTATTTAGATGCACTGCAGAAAGACCTCAGGAATGAAGAGACAGATCAAAGTAATATGAGCAAAAGATAAAAGAAACTGAGGAAGAGGGCCTAGCAAGTATAATAGAATACAGAGATCATGCAGGGATAAAAATGGATAACCAGCACAGGGATGCAGCGAACAAGGGGTATATACTTGGGTCCAAATATAAACAATTATATTAAAAATGTTACAAAAATATTTACGTGTGATTAATGCAACAGTACCGTGTTCCTGAGCTTATTAAAAAATATAAAAGTGAGCCTTTAATAAGAGCAGCCATTTTAAATGTGTTGTAATAATCCACCCTAAATTAAAAATAACTGCAAAGAAAGAAAGAAAAACTAGTTATAGTGCAAACCTCAACAGATTAAAAACAAGAGACGGTCTTCCCGTTTTTGTCTCACAACTTAGATGAGCACTGAAATAAAATGAGTTACACACAGGAAAGAGAACATTTTTGATTTTAACATACAGAAAAGTATGCCGGTTAGTTCATAGGAAAAATCCCAGAATTTACAATTGTATTTTGTTGGGCCTAAGCAGATAGACACAGTCATAGGCAACATGTTTAGATTGTCAGGTAAGATGTTTATAAAAAGAAGGGACTAAGGGAAGCAGAGGAAAAAATGGATTGAAGGCTGATATAGTGATGTGTGCAAGGTTAATTGTAGTTGCATCACAGTGTTGATACCCCTGGTGAAATTGTGTGCTGCAGTGAGTCCCAAGATAAAGAGAAGCTGATACAATCTTTGTGGTGCAGTGTTAATCCAGCTAGAAGGATTTAGAATTTTTCAAAGGCCTTCTTCTCTGTGGAATAGTCAATCATGATTTTCAAAAGCTCAGACAGTTTAGAGAAACCCATGGTTGTGGAAATAGAACAAAAATCACCATCTAAAGGTGATTTTCACCTTTTGTTCACCTATGGAATTGTCTTTACTTGGCTAATTGTACAGTAGAAATAACGAATCAGTCACTTCTCTGTGTACAGCTGATGAAGAAACTGGGCTTTAAGTTTCGTTTGTATGCCACCTTTCTCCAGTGCACTTAGCAGCTCATGTTGTGCAATGACTACCATCTGGGTCAGGGTTCCTCAACCTTGGCAACTTTAAGACGGATGGACTTCAACTCTGGACTTCAGTTCTGGGAGTTGAAGTCCACCCATCTTAAAGTTGCCAAGGTTGAGGAACCCTGATCTAGGCAACAAAATATGACGTGAAAGCATAGAAGAAAATGAGGAAATTCATACACTAATTCTTTCTTGCTGCTTCACGATTCAGTTGCATGACGGGAAGCCAGCTTGGTAGACTGTGAAGGCAGAGAAAAGAAGTGCTCAATGATCATTCCTTCCTTACTGGGAACATCTCTGTAATGAATGTAATCATTTGTCTATTCCTTTATTACGTGAACTTTTTGAGGTTTCCAAAATGAAGTTTTGTGCTAAGAAATTCATTGTTATCATTCTAAGTCTGATTCTCACTGTTTTGTAATAAAGCTGGGTGGGGACTATAATTAACCTGCCATTCTCTGTTAGTCAGACTTGTCTCATAGAGCAGGGTTCTTCAACCTTGGCCACTTTAAGACGGATGGACTTCAACTCCCAGAATTGCTGGGAGTTGAAGTCCACCCGTCTTAAAGTGGCCAAGGTTGAGGAACCCTGTTATAGAGTAAAATGTGGCAAGGAGAATGCTGCAAGCAACTTAGAATTGAGTTCTCAGTTTTTAAAGCTGTTGCTGGAATTTTGAGAACTACTGAGAATACAAAATGGAGGAGGGGGAGAGGCTTGTCCATTCACAAAATGGCTGCTGTAGGAACATCACCAGCTACGCAACAGTTATCAGAACGCTAATGGCTTTTTCTGTCTCCCTCTGCTTACCTCTGTCCTTTTTCTGGGCCAGTAATTAGACTTCCAAGCACCACCTATTGTTTTAATTTTAAAAGAAAGCATGAGACTCACTTTATTCTCAAAAAATAAAGGTGATAGTGGAGGTTGGCACCATTCTTCTTCTTATTTTTTTCAAATAAAAATCAGATGAGCAGAAACTCTGAGAGGCAAAAAGGGAGTTGGTTATCAGCAATTTGGCATCCCCAGGAGCAATACTGCGAGCTGCAGCCTTAGAGAGATAGCAGTACAAAAATAGAAAGATCTTCGTATAAACTATTCATTTGAGGTAGAGGATCATTGTGTAAAGCCCATATTTTTTGCTTTAAACTGGCATTGTCCAGATAAAGGTTTATCACCTCAAGGTAAACGAGGCTGTAAATAAGTAACCCCAAAAAGAGAGAGATGCTATTTAAAAGCTTTTTTTTTTTTTTGCAAAATATATTTGAACAAGAGAGCTTCGCTAGACAGTTAATGATAATTCAGGATAACTATAATTCTAATACTATGAGTCTTTTCATTGTTGCATGCTTGTATTCAAGCATTGCATTATTATTACGTGGACGTTCAGTAGCAAAGGAATACTAATTAAAGTTTTAAATTATTGTTGAGATTTTAACTTCCAGACAGGGAGGAAATTGTGATAATGTGCATGAATCTCAACTCTATGAAGTCATCTATATTAGTATACAATTAGAGGATGTTATAAGTTTAGTCTTATTCAGAAACTGGAAACCAAAACATGAAAAGTGCCACTTTTTAACGGTTAAGCATTATATCAATGAGAGCCTGTGCAGGAATACAGTAATAGTGCAAACTGCCTGAGAAAGTTCACCCACAAAAATGATCTTGCCTGTAACTGTATTCCTTTTTCTTTAGCCTACGAAGACATTTATATTTTAAAGTTCTTTTATAATTCAGCTTTTTCTCCTGCTGACAATCAAGAAGTCATAGTACTATTTGATTTCATATGGTTGCCTTGGTAATAACTAATGTTACAAATTCAGTTTTACAATTTCTCTGCCCAATTCAAAATCTATAAATAGGAAAGACTATGTGGGAAAAAGAAAGACTTAATTCTAGTACACAGCTTTGGAAATGATCAAATAGGATAAGACAGAGTCTGTAGTTTCCTTTTTAAAGAGCTTAAGTTGGAAGCTTGCCAGATTGATAAAAAAATCTTGAGTGATGGGCCGAGTGAAATTGTGCTTGGCAGAACAGATGACAAGCCTAGTGTGTAATGAGCTGCCCAGTCTATTGCAGCAAAGGCCACCATGCCTTACACTTAGTGGATGTGTTTAGTCACCTTTATTTTGAGAGAGTGAGAACAGATTTTATGGGTGAAGAACTGACATATCTGGGTAACCAAACTCTAATAGAGTGTATCAAGAATCAATCATACACAAAGATGAAACGAGTGGGTAGCCTTAATGAAAAGGACTATCAGATATTGCTTTTGTGCCATGTTGTGGCTATTTTTCTCCATGAGATTTTCTGAGAATAAGGTCTTTTATCTTTAGGCTAAAGTATACTTTCCAAGGGAAGCTATTTATCTTTTATAAGGCAAAAATAGATGGGCAATAAATAGAGAAATGGCTGGAATCTGTTATATTGATATAATGAAGTCTAAATTGTTTTGATGGGTATTGTAGTGATCCACATAAAACAGGCTTGTAGATAGCAAGTGAGTTGGATTTCATATTATCAGGATAAATTTGCTTTTTAGAATCTCCATTTTTCTATAAACAAAAGGTAAATGAAAAGACTGAACATGCAGGATCTTTGAGGCCTTGTGTCAATAAATCCAAAAGTTTGATTAAAATACAATAAGAAGCAATAATTTTAGTTATTCTTAGGAACTTTTTGTTCTTAATACATTGAACAAAAAGTTGCA